ATTAGACAAGATGAACTTAATTGGTATTTATAGAGCATGCCATCCAAAAGCAGCAGAATACACATTCTTCTCAAATGCACATAGAATATTCTCCAGGATAGATCACATACTGGACCATAAAGGAAGCCTTGATAAGTTTAAGAAAACTAAAATTATATCAATCATCTTTCCTGACCACAATGCAATAAGATTACAAATCTACAAACAAAAATTGTAATGAAACAAAAACAAAAAACAAGCAACACATGGAAGCTGAACAATGTGCTTCTAAACAATAAGTAGCTCACTAAAGAAATCAAAGAGGAAATAAAAAATCCCCTAGAGACAAAATGAAAATACAAAAGCCCAAAACCTATGGGACACAGCAAAAGCAGTTCTAAGAGAGAAAATTATAGCAATACAATCTTACTACAAAAAACAAGAAAAATTTCAAATAAATGACCTAACCTTATACCTAAAGCAACTAGAAAAAGGACAAACAAAACCCAAAGTTAGCAGAGAAAAGAAATCAAACTCAGAGCAGAAAAGAATGAGATAGAGGCAAAGAAACAGTACAAAGTAGCAATGAAATTAAAAGCTGCTTCTGTGAGAAGATAAACAAAATTGATAAAGCTTTAGCCAAACTCATCAAGAAAAAGAGAGGACTCAAATCAATAAAAGCAGAAATGAAAAAGTTACAGTGAACACAGAAATATGAAGGATCATAAAAGACAAACAACATTATGCCAATAAACTGGACAACCTAGAAGAAGCGGACAAATTCTTCGGTACAATCTTGCAAAACCCAATTAGGAAGAAAGAGAAAATATGAATAGAACAATCACAAGCAATGATATCAAAACTTTGGTTTAAGAGCCCCAAGCCAACAAAGAACCCCAGACCAGATAGCTTCACAGGTGAATCCTATCAAACATTTAGAGAAGAGTTAACACCTATCCTTTTGAAACTGTTTCAAAAAATTGCAGAGATCAGAACACTCCCAAACTCATTGTTTGAAGCCACCCTCAAACATGGTACCAAAATGATACAAAGATACTACAAAGAAAGTGACAAGCCAATGTCACTGATAAACATAGACACAAAATCCTAAGCAAAAGCCTACCACACCAAATCCAATAATACATTAAAAGGATCATACACCACAATCGAGTGGGATTTATCCTAGGAATACAAAGATTTTTCCAATATCTGCAAATCAATCAGTGTGATAACCACATTAACAGATTGAATAAAAGTCACATGATAATCTCAGTAGATGCAGAAAAAGCATCTGACAAAATCTATTAGCAGTTTATCATTAAAAAAAAAAAAACTCCAGAAAGTCAGCATAGAGGGAACATACCTAAACAGGGTAAAGCCATGTATGAAAGACATACACATAGCATCATACTCAACAGTGAAAAGCTGAAAGCATTTCGTTTGAAGATCAGGAACAATACAAGGATGTCCACTCTCACTACTTTTATTCAACATAGGTTTGGAAGTCCTAGCCATTGCAGTCAGAGAAGAAAATAAAAAGAATCCAAATTGTAAAAGAAGTAAAACTGCCACTGTACATGACGTGATACTGTACATAGAAAATCCTGGCGATGCTACCAGAAAACTACTAGGGCTCAATGAATTTGGTAAAGTTGTGGACTACAAAATTAATACACAGAAATGTTGCATTTCTATACACTTAACAACAAAAGATCAGAAAAGGAAGTTTAGGAAGCAATGCCATTTACCATCACATCAAAAAGAATAAAACACCTAGAAATAAGCCTATCTAAGGAAGCAAAACACCTGTATTCTGAAAACTTAAGATGCGAATGAAAGAAATGGAAGATGACACAAACAGATGGAAAAACACACCATGTTCTTAGATTGAAAGAATACTGTCAAAATGACTATACTGCCCAAGGAAATCTTCAGATTCAGTGTAGTTCCTATCAAATTATCAATGGAAGTTTTTGTAGATCTAGGGAAAAAAAAGCTTAAAATTTGACTGGAAATATGGAAAAATGAAAGACTAAATAGCCAAAGCAATTTTGAAAAAGAAAATTGGGCTGAAGGAAGGAATCAGCCTCCTTGACTTCAGAGTGTGCTATTAAGCTACAGTACTCAAAACAGTATAGGAGTGCCATAAACAGAAATATATTTGGATCATGGAGAAAGCAAAGAAGTTCCAGAAAAACGTCTACTTCTGCTCAATTGGCTATACTAAAGTCATTGACTCTGTGGATCACAACAAACTATGGAAAATTCTTAAAGAGATGGAAGTACCAGACCACCTTACCTGCCTCCTGAGAAACCTGTGTGCAGGTCAAGAAGCAACAGTTAGGACCAGACATGGAACAATGACTGGTTCCAAATCAGGAAAAAGAGTATGACCAACCTCTATATTGTCACCCTGCTTGTTTTACTTCTATACAGAGTACATCACGTGAAATGCTGGCTGGATGACTAACAAGCTGGAATTAAGACTGCCAGGAGAAATGTCAACAACCTCAGATATGCAGATAGTAACTCTAATGGTAGAAAGTGAAGAGGAACTAAAGAGTCTCTTGGTGAGGGTGAAAGAGGAGAGTGAAAAAGCTGGCTTAAAACTCAACATTCAAAAAACTAAGATCATGCCATCTGGTCTCATCACTTCATGGCAAATAGAAGGGGGAAAAGTGGAAGCAGTAACAGATTTTATTTTATTGGGCTCCAAAATCACTGCTGATGGTGACTGCAATGAAATTAAAAGACGCTTGCTCCTTGGAAAGAAAGCTATGACAAACCTAGATAGCGTATTAAAAAGGAGACACAACACTTCGCCAACAAATGTCCAGATGGTCAAAGCTATGGTTTTTCCAGTAGTCATGTATGGATGTGAGAGTTGGACCATAAAGTGAAGTGAAGTGAAAGTCACTCAATCATGTCCAACTCTTTGTGACCCCATGGACTATACAGTTCATGGAATTCTCCAGGCCAGAATACTGGAGTGGGTACCCATTCTCTTCTCCAGGGGATCTTCCCAACCCACAGATCAAACCCAGGTCTCCCACACTGCAGGAGGATTCTTTACCAACTGAGCCACCAAGGAAGCCCAGGAATACTGGAGTGGGATAGCCTATCCCTTCTCCAGCAGATCTTCCTGACCCAGAAATCGAACTGGGGATCTCCTGCATTGCAGGTGGATTCTTTACTAGCTGAGCTATCAAGAATTGGTGCTTTCAAATTGTGATGCTGAAGAAGACTCTTAAGAGTCCCTTGGACTGCAAGGAGGTAAAACCAGTCAATATGAAAGGAAATCAACCATAAATATTCATTGGAAGGACTTATGCTAAAGCTGAAGCTCCAATACTTTGGCCACTTGATGCAAAGAGCTGACTCATTGGAGAAGACCCTGATGCTGGGAAAGATTGAAGACAAAAGGAGAAGGAGGCAGCAGAGGATGAAATGGTTAGGATAGCATCATCAACTCAATGGACATGAATTTGAGCAAACTCTGGGAGACAGTGGAGGACAGAGAAGCCTGGAATGTTGCAGTCCTTTGGATCACAGAGTCAGACACAACTTAGCAACTAAACAACAAATAGATCAATGGATGGAGAAGAGCGTCGTCAATAAGAGGTTCTGGGAAAATTGAACAGCTGCGTATAAAAGAATGAAATTAGAACATTCTCTAACACCATGAACAAAAATAAACTCAAAATGGATTAAAGACCTAAATGTAAAACCAGATACTATATAAAACTCTTAGAGGAAAACAAAGTCAGATCACTCTTTCACATAAATCATAGCAATATCTCTTTGGCTCTACCCTCTAGAGTAATAACAATAAAAACAAAAATAAATGGGATCTAGTTAAACCTAAAAGTTTTTGCACAGCAAAGGAAACCATAGACAAAACATAAAGACAACTTACAGAATGGGGAAAAATATTTGCAAATGATGCAACCAACAAGGGATTAATTTCCAAATGTCTACAAACAGCTTATGCAGCTTAAGATAAAGAAGCTATAAAAATTAGATCTAAATAGACATTTCTCCAAAGAAAACATACAGATGGCCACAAAGCACATGAAAATATGCTCCACATTACCAATTATTAGGGAAATGCAAATCAAAAATAGGTATCACCTCACATCTGTCAGAATGGCCATCATCAAAGTCTACAAACAAAAAGTGCTGGAATGGGTGTGGAGAGAACGGAACCCGCCTACACTGTTGGTGGGAATATAAATTCATATAGTCACTATGGAGGACAGTATACATGTTACTTAAATGTCTAAAACAGAGCTACCATATGATATAGCAGTCCCACTCAAGGACACGTAACTGGAGAAAATGGTAATTTGAAAAGATCGTGTACCCCGGTGTTCACTGCAGTACTAAAGAGTAGCTAAGACAAGGAAGCACCCTCAATGTCCATTGAGAGAGGAATGGATAAAGAAGATGTGGTACATATATACAATGGAATATTACTCAGCCATAAAAAGAATGCCATTTGCAGCCACGTGGATGGACCTAGAGATTATCATACTAAATGAAGTAAGAGAAAGACAATTATCATATTGTATCACTTACGTGAAACCTAAAAACAGTGATACATATGAACATATTTACAAAGAGAAACAGACTCCCAGACTTCAAATATATGGTTACCAAAAGGGAAAGTTGTGGGGGAGAGATAAATTAGGAGGTTGGGATCAATACATACAGACTAGTATACACAAGATAGATAATCAACAAGGACCTACTATATAGCACAGGGAACTCTACTCAATACTATGTAATAACCTAGAACAGAAAAGAATTTGAAAAGGAAGATACATGCATATATTCAATATAACTGAATCACTATACTGTACACCCAAAACTAGCACATTATTGTAAATCAAGTATAATCCAATATAAAAAAAATACAGCTTGAAAAAAATCTTGTGAAATGGATTCTGTAATTATTAAACACTCTTATTTTATAAATAGTTAAAATATTTACTGCTTTTTATTTTTACTAAATATGCTAGGCACTTGGAGGTGTCCCAGGAAGTCAGCCATTACTTCCCAGTGGAATGGACCCAACTCGACAACAAGGTGACTACTTTAAAGTAAAAGTTAAATTGATGTGCAGAATCTCAAAGGAAACCCTGTATTTACTAGGGAAGGTATTATTTGTATAGATCTTCCATAATTATATCAGTTGCATTTTTACTTGGTAACATGGCCAAGTAATTATATTTTTTGCTAACTTAATTATTTGTGATAACGCAGTGATAACAGAAGGAACAGAATAATTAAATATCCAAAATCTGTGTTTTAACGCATAACTTCTAAACTCTTTATATAACTTCTAGCAAGTGAGAATCAAAGTGACTATATCACTTATAATTTTCTCTGCCTTTCAGATAGAGAGGTTTATCCACCAAAAAGATAAGCAGGAGGAAAGATGATGCTAAGCAGCAAGTGACTTCCTTGATAGTTTAACAAACCCCAAAACTGGGTCCTTCCTTTGGCCTCTTTAGGTTACCACAAACACGTATGGCTCTGTTCACTGTTCTAAAAGAAGGGGAGCAAATGTTATGACAGATGTATTATCATTCAACACTTAAGAGGAAGATTTCACTTTCAAGACATTAGTGGAGCCTGGGTGCAGGGACAGCCCTGTGGTGAAAGGTGAAGACTGGCCATGGAAGCCATGCTGAGGTGATGTCAGTAATTCAGTCCCTCAGTCAATAAGATGGAATACCAGGCAGAAAGGAGGCGACCGCTTCTGATTTAGCACTCATGCTCATTACATTGCTAATATTGTCACACTTTTTTCTCTTTTTAGGTCATCCAAATATGGGTGGGCCAATGCAGAGAATGACTCCTCCAAGAGGAATGGTGCCCTTAGGACCACAGGTAAATAATAAGTGCAAGAAGCCAGAGGCTGTTTTTTGCCTTCATCTTACACAAACAAACTATATTATTTGCTGGTTTCTATTATATATATACATATGTTCATATACATATATATAAAAGACTTAAAATGACATAGTTTTTAAACTCTTGAGGATATGTTGCCTATGACATGTCCAAATGGATAATATTAAGCCATATTTCAACAGCTACCACATTTGCCCTTGGTACATTCTAGAAAATACTTGGGGTAGAAATCCATTATAGTAATTATTACTAATAAAGATAACATTACCCTTTTTTATATTGAGGAAATATGAAAAATTATAGTAATTACTATAAAGGATAACTAAGATAATTTAAAGCCTAATTGAATTAAATAGAATAAGTGGCATAAAATATATTTCTGTAAGTCTTTTAAAGAATGACACTGAAAATTATATAGTACCATATTTCTTCACAGAGTATGAAAGCAATAGAAAACCATTTAGAAATAAACATTAAAATGGGTCTTGCTGAAAAAGTATAATACAACAGTATACACTAGATACACTAGATGTTATTAGCCTACTTCTCTATCACGATTTCCCAGAAGTATACACCAAGATTGAACCTGTTCAGCTGTTGATGACATTTTTTTAGTATGCTGCTCCAGGCTGTCACTTATTTTAGCTAAAACTTCTCTTTGTCTCTCCTGGGAAAACTGCATGAGGTAGAAATTAATTTTGTAATGTTATATTTCAAAGAAAAGAATCCAGAATTCAGAATTGTAAATTTCTCCCTCATAGGTCGGAGGTCAGTGTATCATACCACTGGTTAAAAGGATCATTTACTTTTCTTATTCTCTCCAAGAAGAGTCTATATAAGTGATGGTTTTAGGAGCTTGTTTCGTGTATCTACTTTAAAAATGTTAAGTATTTTCTTGTGTGCCCAAAAAAGATATTTAAGACTCTAACACCCAGGTAAATGTGACTTATATCTAGGAGTTCCTAATCAACATGTAGCAATACACAGTTGACCCTTGAAAATGTGGGAGTTAGGGGCACCAAACCACTGCACAGGTGAAAACCCGTGTATAACTTTTGACTCCCTAACACTTAACGAACAGCCTACTGTTAACCAGAGACCTTACTGATAACATAAACAATTAATACATATTTTATAAATGTATTATATGTATTATATGCTGTATCCTTACAATAAAGTAATAAAGAGAAAAGGGAATGTTATTAAGAAAATTATGAGAAAATATAATTGCAGTACAGCACTGTATTTATCAATACCGTAAGTTTACATCATCTGTTTATAAGATGAATTACCTGTCAGTATCTATGTCAATATTGTCCTAAAATGTGTAGATACCTGCTTACAAGATTTGTCTAAGATTAAAAATATATATATATTGCCTTAAATTATATGAAACACTGTAGATATTACATATATTTATAACACTAGACATCAAAAATGAAAAGAAAAGGTGAATATATTCCTATTTACTTACAGGTATAACAATTCACGCATTGATACGAAGAAGCAGCACTGATAGCTTTATGGTAACCTAGTGTAATAAGCAACACTTGCTTCATCATAGCCTAGCCTATACACTAATGAATGAATCATTATAACATTTTCATGGCATATAGTATTACAGGCATATTCAGAATACAGTATTTAAATATTGTTACATTTTTTTAAACTGCTTACATGTGATGGTAGGCTGATAACATAGTTTCTTTAATTAAGGGGGAGAGAGAGAAATATATACTATAGAGTAATGTAGGTCTTTGAAAGCAAAATTATAAAACAGTAAGAAAAGTAAGACATTCATTTTATATTATCACTCTCCTTATGCCTGAGTCTAGACTTATATCTACATATAATTCATGCGTTCATAACATACTTTTTTCTTAATTTTCTTGCTCTTTCTAGACTGTGCTTTTCATCTGCAAGTTTTTACAAATTATTGCAAATCCACAAAAATGTTCCAATAATATATTTACTGAAAAAAGTCCACTTATAAATGGACTGGCACAGTTCAATCTCATGTTGTTCAAGGATCAACTATATAAATTGTATTGGAACATGAAGCACAAATTTGTCAGAGGTACCTATTATGTAAATATTTGTGATTGTCAAAATAAAAAAATTATTTATGCTCATTTATTTCCTATATATTTTCTTAAGGTCTTATAAAACTGTAATCTAGATATTTAAATTATTTTTTGCTATTTCTGCTCATGTTAGGGATGGTGATTTATGGGACCAACCATCATTAATCTGTTAATGGCAATTAGAATTTATAGGATCTATAGAATAGTTCACTGACTGAATATACTTTTGAGTTCAGTCCAGTTCAGTCGCTCAGTCATGTCTGACTCTTTGCGACCCCATGAATCACAGCACGCCAGGCCTCCCTGTCCATCACCAACTCCCGGAGTTTACTCAAACTCATGTCCATTGAGTCGGTGATGCCATCCAACCATCTCATCCTCTGTTGTCCCCTTCTCCTCCTGCCCTCAATCTTTCCCACCATCAGGGTCTTTTCAAATGAATCAGCTCTTCGCATGAGGTGGCCAACGTATTGAAGTTTCAGCTTCAGCATCAGTCCTTCCAATGAACACCCAGGACTGATCTCCTTTAGGATGGACTGGTTGGATCTCCTTGCAGTCCAAGGGACTCTCAAGAGTCTTCTCCAACACCACAGTTCAAAAGCATCAATTCTTCGGTGCTCAGCTTTCTTTATAGTCCAACTCTCACATCCATATGTGACTACTGGAAAAATCGTAGTTTTGACTAGATGGGCCTTTGTTGGCAAAGTAATGTCTCTGCTTTTTAATATGCTGTCTAGATTGGTTATAACTTTCCTTCCAAGGAGTAAGCGTCTTTTAATTTCATGGCTGCAATCACCATCTGCAGTGATTTTGGAGCGCCCCCCCCCCCCCCCGCAAAAAAAGTCAGCCACTGTTTCCACTGTTTCCCCATCTATTTGCCATGAAGTGATGGGACCAGATGGTAAAGCGTCGGCCTACAATGCGGGAGACCCAGGTTCAATCTCTGGGTCGGGAAGATCTCCTGGAGAAGGAAATGGCAACCCACTCCAGTACTGTTGCCTGGAAAGTCCCATGGACGGAGGAGCCTGGTGGGCTACAGTCCACGGGGTCACAAAGAGTCGGACACGACTGAGAGACTTCACTTTCACTTTAATAAACTAAGCCAACCAGTTTTAAAGCTATGTACAACTTGAAGAATTTTTTTCTTGAAAGATTTTCGTAATAGATACATTTTGAATATATGTCAAAAGTTGATGTCTGTAATTTAGTTATTCTTCATTCAGGTCACTTACTTTTTGGCTAGCTGCCCTTTGACTTTTTGTCCTTCCAGACCAATATTTTCAACACTTTTAAAAATTAGAGTCTGATTTGAGTAAATTTTGCAGTATTTGAAAGATATACTGATGCTTACCTAAGCTATTGAATATATGAATACTTAGATCTCATTTGAAAATGAGAAGTAAAAAAGCATACTGGTCTTTATATTTTAAAATGTCAAGCCAAAAATTTATGTGTTTTGTGAAGTAAGCCAGAAAGATAAACACCAATACAGTATACTAATGCACATATATGTAATTTAGAAAGATGGTAACGATAACCCTATATGCAAGACAGAAAAAGAGATACAGATGTATAGAACAGACTTTCTTTGCATTTTCAAACCCAAAGAGAGTAATTTATTTCTTCCATTTGGATTAATATCCTTGCTGTCTATTTCTTTATAATTTGGGGCAAGTAAAGCATTCTGGTATGAATTTACCTCAGAAACCAGAAATGCTTGCAACAATTTATATAACACTGTATTTAAGTATAAAAGGTTAAATGAAATAGTTTATATATGTCATTTACTTAAATGAAAATAGGAATCACATTCATATGAATGATACAGTAGGCAAAAAGTGAAGAAAAAAATTTTTAAATGAAGAGAAATCATTTGAATTGAGGGATTCTTGTGAGATATTTAGTCATAACACCTGGTATATGTAACATATGGATTATAAACTGTGAGATCTGTAGTAAAAAGTTAGCTGTGTTTCTTAAAATAGAAAAAAAAAGAGACTCTAATGACAGATATTTAATAATACAGATACTACCTAAGAACAGAATGTGTCTGCTTTTTTATAGCTGAATTATAGAAGCATGTCTGGAATATTATTTCTAGTTTTATGCACAAACTACGTATCTCCTTTGTATCACAGATATTATTTCCAGGTTTTTCAGCTTAACACCAATGTAGTGAAGAGGGACAGTAGTTATCTATTGAAATAACTGAATTCCTAAAAGAAATATATATAATCTGATTCTTAATGCTGCTGGAGGCAAAGTGCACACCTGGAATATAGTAAATATATGATTAAAACCTACTGCATGGGGGAAGAAATAAAACTTTGCTCCAAATCCTGGTAAATTTCCACCACCCCTTAATTTATTTTAAATCAAAGTTCAGTGGTAATACATGATTTTTAGACTGATATCAATATCTTTTCAATAGAAAAGCAGAATTACTTATTCAATCAAGAAAAATGTCTTCCCTAATATCATATCTGAAGTCATTTTTCTGTGTAGCTCTTGTAATAATATATTCCTAGCTTCTCTGTGTTCTTAGGCTCAGCAGATACATATGATTAACAGAAAAATTCAACAGGACTCTCCAACTAGTTCTAGTTCCTTTAGAAATCTGGAGGATAAGTGAGTTATATGCAAATAAAACATATCATGACTTCCAAGTCAAATACTTAGGGTGAAGAAATGATAAAATGTTAAGAGGAAGTAAACTAATTCTGTATTTTCACATCTAAGATAGGAAGTGGAATTTAGCTCAGTACAAGAACTTTCTAGAAATTTAACTGCCTAATCATGGAAACACTCTTTGTAAACTTTCCAGGCAGAGTCTGAACAGTCCTTTGTCAGGAGCATTGCATTGGTAGAGAGATTAAACCAGATGGAATTGTATAGCTGCCATCAGCTTTAAAATTCAGTGATTCCAAATTAGCTCTTCCCATTCTGCCTTTGTTACCCATTAGAAAGCCTGTTGTTATTCTTTCTTATCTTCCTGTTTTCTGTTTGCTTCAGATTATTTGCAAAATGAAAATATTATAAGTTTCTCAAAATATGTATTGGATAATTTCTTATGGATATCCTGTAACACTTGTGAACAGTGATACATGAGCATTGGATCTACAAAGATAAGTAGAACAGATTCTACCTTCAGGTACTTATTGTTTAGCATGAGATGCAGATACATAAAGAAAAACTATTAAACAGTAGGAAAAAAGTCAAAAAAAGAAATATGCATTCTCTGGCAGGGAGTCACTATGTCAAAAGCATGTAATTTTGTTAGGATTGAGGGCTCAAGGGTAAATGAGAAGACCCATTTATGTTGGTCCCTTATTAACAGTGTAATAGTTAGCAACTACAGTTTTTGAGCACCAGGTATCTTGCCTTTAATGCACCAAGCACTATAATAGGTGTTTTGTATGGTTTCATTTTTCCTCCAGTCAGCTCATAAGAGAGATGATATTATCACTTTGTAGATAAGAAAGTTAAGGTTGAATGGATCATTGGGAGAATCTGACCAGTAAACACACGTATAGAAAGGGGAGCAGAGGAAACGGGGCATAGGAAACAGATTTTCAAACTACTGTCTGTGTCCAGAGCTATGAGGAAAACAAATGTATCCCTTGATAAAATAAAACACAGACCTTCTAGGATCAAAAATGAGGGGCAGTTTGTTTTATGAAGAGTTTCTGTTATAGTCTTTCATGTAGATTTTGTTCCCAGTGACGAATTTTCTTCTCAGATACTCCTTGCTAATACTGCTGCTGTCATCCCCATGCATGATTCAGAGGTTAAGAGAAATAGCTCTCTCAGCTGTGGATAGATACCATTCTCCTATTCCATAGCACCTCATTTGAGACATTTAAATATGATTTCTTGAAAATAAAGCAAGTAATGAGAACAACGTGTAACTAGGTAGTTTATTTACAAACTGTGGCTTACTCGCTGGAGTTAACAGACCTCCTCTCATCGAATATTTCCTTGTCATCTTAGCACCTACTACACAGAAGGCCACCGCAGATGAGTTATGAGTGTAAAAGTGCACTGCATGTTTCCAAACCACAAGAAATTCAGTAATCTGGAGGGTAGAGGTGGGGGTAAGGGGAGAAAGTAAATATGATAGGAAATGAGGGCAGCTAGGGCTGGTCTGTGAATAACATCATAGGCCATGCTGAAGAACAGACTTCATTTGATAGACAGTGTGGGTCATCGTGGCTTTTAAGCGACATAAAGAGGACTGAGTTTAAGCAGCGCAGTCTGGAGGCAGTATGGAGAATAGATTGGGACGGGGAGAGGCCTAGTCAGAGAGACCAACTAAGAGTACAGTCGTGTCAGTAAATGACAGAGATGAGGGATACGAAGGGAGCGGTATTTCAAGAGCTATTTCACAGGTAGAATCAATAGACCTTGGTGACTGACTGGATACGGAAATTGAAATAAAAGGAAGAAACAACAAGGAGCTCCCAGAGGTTCTCAGCCTAGACTACTGTATAGAAGGCGATGCCACAGATCTGACTGAGGAAGGCAATACAAAGAACACAGCTGTGAGAAGATAAAATGGAGGTGACTTTTAGGTATGTTGAGTGTGAAATGGTATACAGATAGAAACAACCAATGTGAAGTTCAACATGTGAGTTGTCTAAGAGCTTAGGGGTGACATCATGACAAAATAGATTTGAGATTCCTAACATATAAATAATTGTTGAACTAATGGTAGCAGATAAGTTTACCCATAAATGCATATTTATTTAGAAGGATGCTGTGGCTATAACTTGGAGAAAAGCAATATTTAAAGAGTTGGCAAAATAAAAGGAATCAGCAAAGGAAACTGAAGAATGGTCAGAAAAGTTGGAGGAATAGTAAAGTCAGAAAGCCAAGCATGAAGTATAATAGTTGATAGTTCAACATATATTAATATGATCATATTAAAATTAATCTTTTGGCCCTTATGGAAACTAACCTGATATATACATTAAATGTTTTTATTTTTTGAATGCACATGACACTCAAATATTGACAGAAGTCTGTCGAGTCATAATTCACACATGCATATTTTAAGTATACTTTAGTGTTCATATATTTTTGTGGATTTGTATACTAGTACATTTCTTTCTGGAATGTATTATTTTGCAGACAGAAGTTCGCATTCAGCTTGCTTATATTAGATTCACCTGTTTGTTTTCAGACTACATAATTGTTCTGATTCTGACAATTTCAAACATGTTGACTTAGTCTTTTCTTTAAAAACAGAGTTTGGGATTTATGAAATGTCTTGCTTGAAAAAGTTCACTGTTGTACAGATATCAAGAAATTAATAATGATAATTGAATATTACAGTTGTAACTATACCTTAATCATTTAACATGCTCCAGTGATCATACATATTCACATAGTTTTTAATAAAAAGACACAAACCAATGTAACTGCTAAATAGAAGCAAAAGTACAAGAGTGGACCCTTCAGAGAATGAATTGCACAGGCCTTATCCAACCAGGAGTTATGTAGGGAAATCATTAACCTGCTCTCCTTTCTTTCCCCCCTCCTCTTTGGTTTTGTTTTTTTGTTTTGTGGTAGTCTGACCCTTGGTTATCATTACAGAACTATGGAGGTGCAATGAGACCCCCACTGAATGCTTTAGGTGGCCCTGGAATGCCTGGAATGAACATGTAAGCAAAATGCTATATTGTCCTGTAAAGTGTTCTATTTTCTGTCTTCTAAAGTCACATCAATTTGTAACACAGTTTAAGCTAAATTTCTTTGTAATGTAAAATGAAACGATGTATAAATGAATTAAATGTGAACTGTAGTGTTTGCTTTCTTTTCACAACATATTCTCTGGTTTTCTGCCTTTCTTTGCAACCTTTTTTTTCCATTTCAAATGGCAACTTTTAGCCTGATTTTCATGTTCTATTTATCATAAAACTGAATCTCTTGTAAATGAGCACATAGTATTCATGCAGTCAATACAAAAATATGAAGAGATGACACCAGGTCCATGACTTAACTCTCTAGAAGTAGACAACTGAATATTGTTCATTGTAACAGATCCAGCATGATTCCTATGAGTTTTAAACTTTTAGAAATATATATACCTATATCTGTTCTTCCTAAAGATTTGCTTTGTTGGGACCACTGTTAACCCAGGAAGAAGTTTCTAGTAGTTTCTTCTTTATTAAAGAACTTCCCATAGTATAATTTCTTTTGAAAATTCAAGATATACTTAGATAGGGAGTAAACTAATAGACTTTTTTTGTTTTTGTTTTTTACTGTAAAGGCCTTTCAAAACCAAAGAGAGCAGTTGCTTCTATCAGTCAATAGAATGCAATTTGTTAAGGAATTTTAATTTCTTTTTCATTATCTTACTTGTCCTCAAAGTTTCATATACACCCAGAACTTGTTAACGGCCTTCCTTAATTCATTAGAAGATCAATTCCATGATGTAGCCTAAGAAATTTTATCAGAAATAATGTAAGAGCTCTGTATATGGCTTGGGTAGTCTCATCTATTTCCATATTCCCCATTAGTCCATGTTTTGGTTACTTATCTATCAAACTAAATGACTCTGCCATCATTTAATGGCATTTAAAATATACTGAGGTAAGCTTTGTTTGATGTCCATAGGGATTTGTTTAAGTTTCTGGAACCATTTTCATGGAAAGCAGTTTTGCCTAAAATAGAAAATAGGTTAATAGGTGGATACCAACCAGGCTCAAAACTGACAGAACAAGGGGGGAAAAAGTAGGTCAAATTTTCCTATCCCATCTTTTTACTTTTAAAGTAAAAATGGATAGACATGAAGTCTTTTCTTAAATTCCTCAAAGGTTTAGCCTTATTAATGATTTTTACAAAGAGGAGTGAAATTTTGTGCTTATATCAAAAGCTGAAACTCTCAAAAATAGGATTTAGATATATATAAAATTTACCTACCTAAGATTCTGACTTTAAAATGAAATAGCTATTAAAGGATAATTTGAATTCTATGTATAGATGTTCAGGAGTATACATTTTGAATGCTCATTAAATATTAAGAATGTCTAATATCATTTGGTGTATTACTCATCATGATTATTAGTGATGTGGTCGACTTTAGATCAAGTTGGTTTTGCTAGTATAAGAAAAGTCATTCTCATGTGACCACTGGGAATCAAATAGCTGCTTAAAATTGTCTAGTTTCTTTCTCACATACATTTAAACAGATACTTATGGGTATATTTAATTCCATAGACTATGAAGACTAAAAGTTTGGCTGGAAATTTCAAATGATTATTTCTGTTGGTGTTTGGGCTTCTCATTTTAATATATACAGATATTTTAAAATATTTATTACATATTATGTTACTATTTGTATAATTTCCAGCTTTTAAAGACATTTTAAGCTTTACAGATTCACATTCCATTAATTACTATTGACTGTTATTTGGGGTCTTATATAATTTTCAGTTTTCTATAAATTAGGATTCCTTTAAGGATGATGACATCATAAATATTTCCCTCTAACAGAGAAAGTTCTGAAATATGGACGATCCAACCAGAGAGACTCATTGTTCTATTGATTTCGGCCCCAATAAAGCAAAAGTGAATTTAAAGAGACATAAATAAACCATATTACTATCTCCACTGTACTCAATAAATTTTATTGAAATTCACTCCATAATTTATTATCATTAAAACAAATTAAATCTTACTGTGTAATGGCAAGTAAGTATTTCTAACTGAAATTATGACTTTCTTCATGTCATTTTTTTACATGTTGGATAAATTAAAAATTAGAGGAAAGGGCATTAGAATTAGTGTTACTTAGGCTAGGTCCTGGTGGCTCCATGGTAAAGAAGCCTCCTGCCAATGCAGAAGACGCAGGTTCAGTCCCTGGGTCAGCAAGATCCCCTGGAGAAGGAAATAGCAACCCACTCCAGTATTCTTGCCTGGGAAATCCCAAGGACAGAGCAGTCTGGCAGGCTACCCTCCGGGGGGTGCAAAAGAGTTGGGTATGACATAGCAACTGAACAGCCGCCACCTTGGACTACGTTTTTAATAGTCTAGATATTTGTGCTGGGATCAGCAGGGATCTACCAGAGGATCATATCTGGATGAGGTTTCTGTGGTTTGTCTCTTTTTATTATTTGACACCAAAATATAATGATAGTAAAAAATACCCAGCCCTGGTCATGAAAGTAAATAAATACCATATTCTAACTGTAGCTTTCTCTCTTACTGAAACCAAACCATTTGGAACAATATTTTTATTATTTTGTTGTTAGAAAAACATATTGGTCATCTCCAAAGGAAATGGTTACTTTGGTATGATTTTTATATTTCCATTCTCTAAACTCAGGGTAAATCATATGTAGTGTCATCTAAAATTAAAATAAGAGCCTATTTTTAGTGTTTCTATAACTAGTAGTATATATTTAGAATTAAAATTCAATATCAATTTCAGTAACTTAAAGTAGAATTTACAAACTGTAACCACAATGTAAATGTTTTCAAATGCATCATAGATTTTGAAAAGAAAGCTATATTTTTAAATAAAGTACACTTTTACAAATTTTAAAAGAATTAAGATTCAGCATTTTAAAACATTTCTAATTCAACTTTGTGGCCCTTGGTATTTTATAGAAACTAAGAGGACAAATAATTTCAAAGGATCTAGACCCTTTAGGTTCTAAGTCATACCCTATAGAACTATAAGGTTTACATAGTTATTATCTTGAAGTAAAATGACTGAATTATAGAAGATAAGATATTTTTTCTCTTTGGTAGTCATGGTTGCCTTCATTTCATCATATCTGTACACCCTACCAAAAATTAAAGACTTTTTTTTTTGCGATCTTAAAAAGATGAGTTTATTTGGGAATAGCAGAGGAATTGTAATTTGGGACAAGCAAATTGTAGCAAGCTACAACTGAGTCCATTAGGTTTGAGGTCTAGGTAGTATTTATGAGTAGGAAATGTAAAGAGAGGAGAGTTCAGTTAGAATCAGTTAAAACAAAAAACAAAGGAAGACCAGCCTTGAAAACTTCCTAAGTAAACAAAATTCTTTTAAGCTTCATTTTTCTCTTTATTTTTAAATAAAATTAACTGATTCTACTTCAAACTATACTTATATAGAAATTTACATTAAAAATAATGCCTCCATTATAGTTAGTAGGTTACTCTTGATAATACTGATGGCCCTCAAAAGTAGAGAAAACTTACTGCACTTAAGAAGTTATTCTAATAGAACTACTCACTACTATCACCCTCACTTTATTTAATAGTATTTGCAAACCTTAAAGTGTTTTCTAACACAGTGGTAATGATAGGGGAAATTTAGCTTATCCAAATGAATTAATACTTAACTCATTACAGTAAAACGCAATTTATTACTAAATACATGGTGAGCTGAGACATTAGTATTTGTCAAACAGTTAAAATGCATAAAAGGTATTTTATGGGTCTTAGAATAAATTTAGCTTAATCATTTTTTATTTACTTAAGTAAATGTTTAATTATTTTAATATCTAGTTTGATGTATTAATTTAACATTAAGCAAATTTTAAGTAAAAATTATTTTATATTTAATATATCTTATTCACACAGTCCTTGTTTAAACATAATACTTCAGAATTTGAGGTTATCTGCATATCATTGCAAACAATTTTTGGCTATGATTTGGATATATATATATTGTTATGTTGTTGTAAGATAAGTATTTCCCAATTTCTCCACTGTGTTTTGATTAACATCAAGCAAGTCAAATATTTCACTTGATCAACATATACCCTATGCTTAACCTCCGTTTCTGCCCATTAAGACATTGAATCCTCTAGGTAAAATCACCTTTCTAAAGTGCTCCAGTAACTAATTGTAAAGTCATCATCATTATCTTAGAGATGAATTATTTCCAGAAACAATACATGTGTCCCTCACCTTCTGGCTGTGCATAATATTTTGACCAATATTTTGACTCCAGCATCTTATTTCCCCCTCTATTCCTCAAACAGAATTGGGTAAAATTGTAACTTGGGCATCTTAATGGAGCCTAAGGACACAGTTTCTCATGCCCTTCCCTGCTGTTTGCATTCCTTGGGAATCCCAAAATAATACTCAAAACAGTTCTAAATATTCCAACCAAACATGAGTAATACAGCTAACTTGGACAACTTCTGTCTAACATTTAGAACCTTAGGTTTAAGGTCCCTAGAGTAAGAATCAGGGGTCTTTTTTTTAATTAAAAAGCTCAGTGTTTTCATTAATATTAGAGGGAAAAGGAATTTTGAGTGACCCTAATTACAGAGGACCTGCTAACAATAGTCTCCTTTTCATCAGGCAGTATTTATTCAGGTGCAGTTAATACTAAAAGCATATGGACAGGAGATCTTTTTAACTTAATTAATTAGGCATTAATTTTGTTTTAAAATCATTGTGTCTTTTAAGCTATAGAATAGGGAGCATGCTTCTCCACCCTAACATGAAGCAATGTATTGACATACATTTGCATAGATTACCTCCTGTTTTTTTCCCCAAGATTTACTCTGACCACTGTCTTGAACTACAATTATGAAAACAGGAAATGCAGTTCCCTTGTTTAATAGTAACTAAATTGTCAGCACTGAAAGATAGATTGAAATATAGATGTATAAAGTAATGTGATATTCTATGCAAATTTTTTGAAGATGAGGGAACTTTTATTTGTAGCTTAATACAAGCAATAATTTTATATTTAATAGTATTTTACAAACAGTTTCATTTTGAATGATGCCAAGAGGACTTACATTGATGTCACAATTATAGTTTGTCTTTATCTCATATTTAGTGATTTTTACTCCAAAAGCAGATTCTTATGTTTCAGTATATGTATATATATATTTACTGCTATAGGTGATTACCACTTTTGGTGGTTATTATAATAACTGAACTTAAAACTAGGCTTAGTAAAAGTAGTTTGATTTGGAAAGAAAGCTGTTTGGGGAATGATAAGGCTTTTGGATTTTAGTAATTAAAAAAGCCGTGAGAATATAGAGTAATTACAGTGCTGAACTAGAACAGCATGGTAACTGAATTATAAATGTTAGTATTTTATGATGTTTTTGCTTATTGTGAAACATTAAGAGCCTGAGTTAAAATTTCATTTATCATATTGTCTTGTAGGGGCCCAGGTGGTGGCAGACCTTGGCCAAACCCAACAAATGCCAATTCAGTGAGTATATACATATATTTTTTCACTTTCTTTGTGCTTTGTAACATTTAACAACAAAAATCTGTTCCTTTTGAAAGCCCCACAATTGGTTATATTAACCTTTTTAAAGTAATAATCAAAAGTATTTTTATGTGTTCTTAGAAAAATATGTATAATCTTTGAAATTATGTGATTTGTTTCAAGATGTAAGGTAAAGATGCATTCTATGTAGATTAACAGACATTCAAAAATAAGTAGTGTGATTTATTGCAAAAAGAATACTGTAGTAGCCTACATTTATCATAAAATCTATCATATAATGAATTCACCTTCTAAAATAACTATAATAATCACTAAATTGCCAAATAAAACCAATTGCTATCAGGTGTTATGATTATATTTGCTGTTTTAGTTATACCTAGGCTTGCTCTCTCACTGCCCCAGGAAGCAAGTGTACCTTTGCCTTGTGCCTATTTACTTCTGTCCTTACACTTGTATCTATGGTATCTATGTATCTGGCATCATGGGAATTTTCATTATACATTTTGTGGCTGTGATTTGACTGCATAAATATATTTGTTTCTTAATAAAGTCACAAATATAAGCACAGGTTAAAATTTAAGCTTTCAATCTTAAAAATAATACGACTTTAAATTTACTGACCCAGGAAATGTTTTTCTTGACTTTTGAAACCTTGAGTTCAATATGTGAAAGAGTTCTGCTCTGTACATCTGTGTAGTATGTGCACTGCACAAAGATGCCTGAGTCAGGGAATCAATGGGAAATTGAAATACAGCTGTTTTCCAGTTGTGAAGTCTGTGGAGTATTTACCCAGAAGGGATGCCTTTTGCTTATATGCAGAGGTACCTGTATTGACTAGCAGTGGCCTTAATTCTGAATAAACATGAAACTGATCCAATGTCTAATATAAATTTAAATTTCAAGAAAATTTAATGTGAAGTGTGGATGGTATGGACTTCCCATGCAGTTGAGCTGGTAAAGAATCCATCTGCAATGCAGGAGACTCCAGTTCAATTCCTGGGTACGCAAGATCCACTGGAGAAGGGATAGGCTACCCACCCCAGTATCCTTGGGCCTCCCTGATGGATGGTATAGACAGAATCATCATGAATCTATTGCTATTCTAAGGCAGAACTCACTTCCTTCTCAATTAAGTAACTGTCGTATTTTTAGAGAAAATATTTAATCTGTATTACTTGCCTATCTCTTAGTCTCAATAGCTATGATGTTTGATAATTAAATAAAATTGCTTGGGATGGAGAGAATGATGATGTTGCTTCTTTTTGGGTCTTCAGTGCACTATTTTAGCAGATATTATAAGATACTCTTTTACCTGATTATGTTACTATCTTTACTCCAGTTTTCTTTTCATTTGCATATATGCTTTTGAAAAGTCCACATTTCTCTTTCCTTCTTGCTCTATGTGCCTTTCAAATTTTAAGACTTCACTTTAAAACAGCATCTAACTAGCAGCTCAGATACTTTCTTTGAATTTCCCATTGAAATACCCAAAGGTGCAGAAAAACAATTTTTTAATAACGGCAGAAACTCTGCCAGTCTTCCTATTGTCAGAATCTGGAACATATTTCTGTTATCTGCACATCTGGTGAAACTGGATTAAAAAGCACAATCCACTAGTAAGCACAACCCACCTCCACTAGTAAGCTTCCTACCTAAAAGCAAAAAGACCTCTCACCTTCCTCACTGCCCCTTAGCCAGCCATCCCTACACTGCGGGCGGGAGTGAGCTCACACCCACCACTGCCCACCTTCCCCAGCACCTCCTGTACTCTTAACTGGAGACCCTGTCCTCTAAAAGCCACCAACGCATTGATCCTGAAGGTGGTGCATTGTACCTAGCAAGTGTTCATCCGAAAGAGGATTAGATAGAGACAGAGATGAGGAAAGGATCGTTTCTGATGACTTTTAAAGTTAAGCGAGTCCCCGACATATAAACCTTCAAGTTTCAAACTTTCAGAGATAGGAACATGTGTTCACATGTCCAGTCATGTAAGTTAGTTGCCATGTCTGGTGTATATTGTCACCTGCTTGCATCCTCCACACGCGGTTGTGCTTTTGTGTACTTTGCAGTACTGTCTAGAGTACAATCATACAGTATCTTTATTTCAAGTACAGCATGTCCAGAGGCTGGCATAAAAGCAGCGGTGATGTAGGGGGTGGTACTGCTAGGAAGTACAGCTGTTGCACTGTACTACTGTACCTTTCAAGGCACTCTACTGTAAGAGCAAAAATGTTCGTGTGTTTTTATGTGTTATTTGTGTGAAAAGTATTGTAAACCTATTACAGTACAATACTATATAGCCAATTGTGTCAGTTTGGGTACCTAGGCTAACTTTGTCGGACTGAGAACAAAGTGGACTTACAAATGCAGTCTCAGAACAGAACTCATCCATATTTAGGGGACTTACTATAGCAAATAGAGCCAAGCAGTGTGGATAGAACTCACTGTATCAGGTCAGCAGCTCTGCGTTATTTTAGATCCTGAGGAACACGGAGTTAGAGAAGGAGCTGTGCATATCAAACCACTGTCCAACAACCACTCCACAGTGGGCATTCGGCTAGCACACAGGTAGGCTCGTAATCAAGTTGAAAGCAATCCCTGCTAATGTGATTAATGTATGCCACACGTGGGTATACCTACCCTCAAAGAATTCGATGGGATAGGGAAAAGTTGTGAGAACACCTATCGTTTTCTCTTCACAAAGAGAAAGGACTCATCATCCTGAGCACTGAAAGGAAAAGCATTCCTCTGAACTATGGTTGTTTATGAGAAGAAAAAGTCAAAGGCGACTCATGACTTTCTAGCAAAAACGTAAGGCTTACATGAAACAAAGCAAAGTATTCAAGAAGGATTTTTTTTTCCCTGCATACCATTGATTATACTGTAGTGACAATTTCCCTGTATTATTTTGAATTCCAAGTTCTTTGGACATTTTGTCTGTATTTAATACTACAAATAGTTTTCATTTTGTGTCAGTACAGTATGCCCAAGTCTCCTCAGGGTAGCATGCTAAAGGTTGGTTGCTTTGTTTTTGCTGTTTCCAAATATGTTTTATATACTTTTCTTTTAAGAACTTTGTTTCCTAAAAATGAAGAGACTATCTTTCACAGTATAAGGATCAACATTTTAAAATTAATATTGATGTAATCTGTTTTCTGATCTGCACACCGTTTTTTGATTTCACCAGTTGTCCCTACAGTGTGTTTTGTAACAAAAGAAAATCCCCATTCACTTGTTGCATTCATCTGTCAAGTCTCTTTATCTCCTTTAACCTGGAACAGTCCCTTTGTCTTTTTTACCCTTGGAGTTTGGTTGACCACAAGCCAGTTATTTTGTACAATGTCCCATAATTTGGTCTTGGCGGATGTTTCCTCACAATTAGATTCAGGTTATATATATTTGTCAGGAATCCCCAGAAGTAATTTTGTGTTTTTCTCAGTGCATCATTTCAGGAGGTGTGTGATGGCAATTGTCTATTATGTGTGTTACTTATATTAACTTCAGTCACTTAGTTAAGATGGTGCTTGTTACGTTTCTCCACTGTTAAATTATCATTTTTCCCTTTGTAATTATCTGCTTGTGAGACATACTTTGACTTAATCTGCTGCTTTTTGTATCCATTCATAATTATCTTCTGAATCATCTTTTCACTATGTTGGTTGCCAGATGGCTATTTTCTGATTCTATCTTTCCTTCTCTACTTATTACTTGACTCTTTATGAGTTTTTCTTTCTTCTCCAATCATTCATGTATATCTGATATACTTGTGGATTCTTGCTTTGTACAAAGGGTTTTGTTTTTTAAATCATTTCAGATTTGTCCAGTTAGAACCCCTTCAAGTTGGGTTATTTGTCCTTTTGACATGTCCCTGTTATGCTTGGAGCATTTTGAAGCTCATATTTTCCCAGCCTTAACCCTGATAACAGCCATTTATATAAGGGTGCTTGGTTCCTTCTAGTGGAGAGTGGTATTTAGAACCCATTGGTGTGACCTAGCTTCTAGCCTTTCAACCAACAGATACAGATGTATATATACACACACACATACATATAGCCACATATATCCTTATCTTTCTGTATCTATCCATATTAAAACCAGGAGTACACGCTGCAGCTCTGTTTACAGTTAGCCAAGACATGGAAGCAACCTAAGCGTCCATCAAAAGATGAATGGATAAAGACGATGGGCTGTGTACATACAATGGTATATTCAGTTCAGTTCAGTCACTCAGTCGTGTCTGACTCTTTGCGACCCCATGGACTGCAGCACACCAGGCCTCCCTGTCCATCACCAACTCCCAGAGTTTACCCAAACTCATGTCCATTGAGTCAGTGATGCCATCCAACCATCTCATCCTCTGTGGTTCCCTCCTCCTCCTGCCTTCAGTCTTTAACAATGGTATATTACTCAGCCATAAAAAAAAAAAAAAGAAATAATGCCATTTGTGGCAACATGAATGGATCTAGAGATTAACATGCTAAATCAGACAAATAAAAATATCATATGATATCACCCATATGTGGAATCTGATTTTTTAAATGATACAAATCAACTTATATACAAAATAGAAACATTCCCAGATATCGAGAACAAACATATGATTCCCAAAGCGTGAGAATGTGGAAGAGAGGGATAAATCAGGAGCTTGAGAATAACATACACATGCTACTATATACAAGATAGATAATCAGCAAGGACCTACTATATACCAAGAAAACTCTACTCAGTATTCTGTGATAACTTATATGAGAGAAGAATCTGTAAAAGAATGAATATATGTGTATGTATAACTGAATCACTTTGAGGTACACTTGAAACTAACACTACTATAAATCAGCTAAAATCCAATAAAATTTAAAAGCAAAAAACCATGAGTGCACACTGGTGCTTCAACTGTAATTCAACACAACAGAGTTCATTCTAGACTTTCTGCTTTCCATGTTTATTATTCACTTCTCTGAAAATAAGTCTGCCTACCA